AAAGCGATGCAAGGTTATTTCATGGTAAAAAACGGGTCATAATTGATGATCACTTATGTTTTCATTTAGCAATGTGAGTAACTTTGCCATTTATTGTTTAGGAATGTATTGTTGAAGAATGTAAGTAGTAAAATCTTGTGTTACAAGATTTTTGCATTTACACGAACTTTCACTCGTTTTTCAGAATCTGTTCCTAGAGACAGAGATCCCAATACAAAAGTGAGAACATGTTTGCGTAATCAGAAGGATGCAGTGCAAATGCCTAGTGACACTCTGAGAGCAAAAGTGGTACCCGAGAGAGTTCCCCGCAGATGTGCTGCTGTTGCTGCAAATAAGATAAAGATAATGAGTAACCTAAAGAAGACAATTTCAGGACCAGGAAATGTCTGGATTAGTAAGAGTAGCAGAAAACTACCCCATCGAAACGCTTCTGCTGCGGCTAAGAAAAGATTATTGAATGTGTATAAAGAGGATGATACAAGTATAAGTTCAGAAAGTGAAAAATAGCAAAATGCTTTTGTTTTAGAGCAGATCCTGGGAAGAAAAGCAGTGACTATGAAATGTGTACGTGGAATTGAAAACAGGGCCACGGGTGGACTGGCAGTTGCATTCTGCTCCTAGCTCTCAAGGGCATTCCTTGTTGGCACCTTCGGAGGAATTTCCTGAGAGCCATAATGCAGAGTCCCAGTGGGTCCAGGAAGGCTTCCTCTCAGTTAGGTTTTGTACAGACACTACAAAGAACTCTGAATAGGGAACAGTCTGTGTGTGAAGCCTGTGGATGGACAGGCTGGCAGAAAAGTCTAATGCCCGCTCATAAAATTCCTTTTCAGAAGAAAGGGTCTTGGAGAAATTTCTTGATTCCTAAAAGGAAGAAAATATAATCGTCCCTCCATATCCCAGGGGGTGGGGTTGGTGCCAAGACTTCCCCAAATCCAGAGATGCTCACGTCCCTTCTATGGTGTTTATATAACGGACACACATGCTCTCGTATACTTTAAATCACCTCTACTTAGAATACCTACTACAATGTGGATGCTATGCAAATAGTTGTTATACTGGACTGTTTAGGACTAATGACAGAAAAGTCTACAAAGCAACTGTGGTTAGCCTAACTAGTACACATCAGCAACAATGAGCTTTTCCCCTAGTAGACTATTCTTTTTTAAAAATATATATTTTATTGATTTTTTTTTACAGAGAGGAAGAGAGAGGGATAGAGAGTTAGATACATCGATGAGAGAGAAACATCCATTAGCTGCCTCCTGCACACTTCCTACTGCGGATGTGCCCACAACCAAGGTACATGCCCCTGACCGGATCAAACCTGGGACCTTTCAGTCCGCAAGCTGATGCTCTATTCACTGAGCCACACCGGTTTTGGCCTAGTAGGCTCTTTTTTTTTTTATTTTAAAAATATATTTTATTGATATTTCACGGAGAGGAGGAAGGGAGAGAGAGAGCTAGAAACGCTGATGAGAGAGAGACATTGAGCAGCTGCCTCTTGCACCCCCCCCACCAGGGATGTGCCCGCAACCAATGTACATGCCCTTGACCGGAATCGAACCTGGGACCTTTCAGTCCGCAGATGTACGCGCTACCACTGAGCCACACCGGTTTCGGCCTAGTAGACTCTTCTTGAGTTGTGGTTGGTTAAATCCCCAGATGCAGAACCCGTGGAAATGGAGGGTCGACTATAATGGGAAGTGTACAGGGTCTAGAGCAAAAGCCTAAAGGAATAAAACATTTAAAATCTCAGCCTGCTAATTTTAAGGGTTTTGCATTCGAGTATAAAAACTCAGACTCACCACGACCATGATGTCATTCTTAAAATACAAATGAGGTACACTTCACAAAGTGCCATCGAGCATATTTGACTTTCGAATGAAGCAAATATGTACGTTAGCAAGATGCAGTTCCTCCAGTTCACAGCCCCAAAGTCCACGAGGACTTGAGGATTTGGTAATCCTGGGGTTTGAATAATGTTCTGAAGTAGTGTTGGAAATGGAATCCATTCATGTTTTATTTTGTTTACAATATTGGAATTCATATTGAATGATGACCACTTGATATGACTGATTCAGGGAATATATATTTTTCTACGAAACCCATGAATGTGACTCACCACTTCTTTTCCTCATTTTTACTTTCAGGGAGCAGCATTCACAGATGCCAAAATGTGCCTCATTATGAGGCAAGTCTCCGTTTTAATAAGTTAGAAAATAAAATTACAAGTCAGGATCAAAAGAGTCATATTTTTAGATGATACAGTAACATCCTCTTATGTTTCTCTAGAGCACCTTACATGTTAGAACTTTATGAACACTGAGCAAATTTATTACAATCTCATCACAACACACGTTAATGGCAGTATGTCTGGGCTATTTCATTGTGGCTTCAAATAGGACTAGAAACCTGGTCTTGATATTAAGAATTTCTTGGCCATGAGGTATAATTTGTTAATAGGTATTTGTTGAAATGAAAATCACCAGGTTAAATGAATGCACTGTCAAATCTTTAACATAGCACATGCTATTGGAAAACTGAATTGTTTCCCATTGAAAAATATCTGTGAATATTAATATGATTTGCATGTGAAATCTGAAAAAGGAATATATAGAAACCTAAGGGTTTCTATATATTCCTTTTTCATTAAAAGACTTATGTAATGCATATATATATTTTTTGTTACACAGATTCGCCAAGTGTCTAGATTACTTGAGAAATTTGTTTGTGGTTGCATGTCTACTTAAAAAAAGGCTTTTTTTTTGTTTTCTTTTTCTTTGCATAAGCCAAAATACTTCTACCCTACAGTTCATGTCCTTTATTCTGCTTATAGTATACTTTCATCTGAAATACTGATGCCAATGTCTTGTTACTAGTGCAGATGAGAAAGGGGAGAATTTCAAATAAATGAAGTTTTAGGTGCATGGGATTTGCTTTTTGAAATCTAATGAAATTAAACCTATTTCCAGTCCCATATTTATACTTAATTTCATAGAAATTTTTTATTGGGTATTTTGCCACCTTTATCTCCCACCACAAAATGAAAATATTTATCTCAGTTAAGGTTGCTTTATGTAAAAGGTTTTTTTTTTTTTTTTTTTTAGATGTTTCTAGGACCTTTCAATGTAATGAAAGGATTCCAATTTTGAATTTATAATTTGCTGTGGTTGGGTTAATTTCTCTGGTTTAGTATTTAATTTGAACATAAACTTGCCTTTTTTTAAGTGCTCAGCCTAAACTTATTGTAACTGCATGATATAAGCTTTTGTTTAAATCTTAAACGTTTTTGTAAAATGCTAAAAGGTATGCAGAATTTTAATCATGGACAAATGTATTATCATTACCCTATTTATAATTTCAATGAGCTTTTAGAAATGATTGGTTTATAATTATGAAATCAAATTGAAGATTTTAATAGTAAAATTGACATTATTTTATTTAACAAAGGGGCTACGACAAAGTGATACCAAAACCTTTTTATTTTGTAATTCAGTCTTTCTATAAAGCCAAATTAACCCAGGAGTCTTAAAGCAGTTTTAAAACACCACATTGGTAATCTTGTACATTCTAGCTCAATAAGCGCTTACAGGATAGCAATTTGGGTCTTACTGTTTATACTTAAGTGTTCACATTTTGCTTCGAAGTCCAGTTTTATATTTTGCAGTAATGTGTAAAATCGTTAAACATTGGTTTTATGTAAATGGTTTTGTGATCAGTGTCCCCACATTTTAAAAGCAAGATGTTTCTAGGAACTCTCTAGGTTTTTTTTTATTGTCTCAAGAGGCTTCCCTCACCCCAAATGAGTACTTAATTTGGAAATTACTTATAGACAGCATTCCAAAGTGTAAGCAATGCCATGTAGTTTCAGCACCACTAAATCTAGGTAAACGTGTTTTTAAAAAATTTCCATTGCAATATCGGCTTTCCCCCCTTTTATTTGAACTATGGTGCAGTTGCCCTTTTTTCTCCTGTTTGGAATAGTGAGTGCTCTGTGAACTGTCTTCCAGCAAATTTGAAAGAGAACCAGTTAATCACTTTGCTTATTAGTGCAAGGCTGTTTAAAGCGGAAACACATTTTGTATTAGAGATGGCCACGTTTTTAAAAAAGAAGCTAATATTTTTGCAGTCTCATAGTCTTTCAGACCATCGGCTTTTGAAATGTGAATTCCTACTGCCAGAGTAAAGGCGTCATTTTTGTACCACCACGAAGCACTGTGTTTTTTCCCGCCCGCCATCCCTCTTCTGCCTGCCCATCCCTCTTCTGCCTCCAATCCTCCTCTGGCCCCCCATCCCTCCTCTGCCTCCATCCCTCCTCTGCTCATCCCTCCTCTGCCCCCCATCCCTCCTCTGCCCCGCCTATCCCTCCTCTGCATCCATCCCTCCTCTGTCCATTCCCCCTGCCTATCCCTCCTGCCCATCCCTCCTCTGCCCCCATCCCTCCTCTGCCCCCCATCCTTCCTCTGCCCCCCATCCCTCCTCTGCCCCCATCCCTCCTCTACCCCCATCCCTCCTCTGCCTCCGATCCCTCCTCTGCCCCCATCCTCCTCTGCCCCCGATCCCGAGGACCCACAGGCCCCTGCGATTAGTGAACTACAGCTCCCCCGGCCCCTCCTAAGGAGAAGGACGGCGGAAACGGAGCACGGGAGGGAAAGGCAGGGGGACCCACGGATACAGACTGGGGATGACCTTCCTTCCCCTTCCCCAGGCGGCTACCGGTCCGCACTGGAATACCCGCCCCACGCGCCCCGCGCATCCGCGTCTCAGCCTCCCAGGCCCGCAGCGCTTCGGCCTGAGGTCGCCCGTCGCACTCGGGTCCCAGGGCGCGTGCGCGGAGGCGGCGCAGGGGGCGGTCGCACTTGGGGGCGGGGCTAGGGGCGGGGCCAAGGGCACAGGCGCGGGGGCGGGGTTGGCGCGCGGGCGGCGCAGGCGCAGTCCTGGGGCGGCGCAGGCGCAGTCCTGGGGCGCCGCAGTTAGGCGGGGCGGGTGGGAGGGACAGCATGGCGGCCACGTTCTTCGGGGAAGTGGTGAAGGCGCCGTGCCGAGCCGGGACGGAGGACGAGGAGGAAGAGGCCGAGGGGAGAGCGGACACGCCCGAGGACCGGGAGGTGCGGCGGCAGCTGGCGCGGAAGCGGTGGGTGAGGCCCTGGCCGGGGAGCGGGCGGCGCCGGGGCCGCGGGAAGGCCGGCGGGCGGGCTGCACGGCGCCGGGGCCCAGCTTTCACGGGAGCTGCCCGCACCACGGCCGCGGCGCCGGCTTTGGGCTCCCCACCGCCCCTCCCGTGTTTGGGCCACGGACATAGCACCGCTCTCTCAAGCTAATTCCCGCCCGGCCTCGGCTAGCTTTGCGTGTCAGTGGCAGGTGGATGTCTCTATTTTATTTTTTAAAAATGTATTTTATTGATTTTTCACAGAGAGGAAGGGAGAGGGATAGAGAGCTACCCCGTTTCCCCGAAAATAAGACAGTGTCTTATATTGATTTTTGCTCCCAAAGATGCGCTAGGTCTTATTTTCAGGGGATGTCTTATTTTTCCATGAAGAAGAATACGGTACACATTGATTGTGAAATGAAAATAAAGGAAATTTATTACCTGTATACGGTACGGTAGTACGGTACATGTCAACACAAACCAGACAAACTGTGAATCCTAGAATTTACAGTTTTTAAAATGAAGAATGTACTCATTTATTTAATGACAATCATGTCATCATCATCTGGAACATCATCATAACAATCCAGTTCCTGAGTTTCCTGGTGAATTTCTTGTGACTCCATTTCTTTCAGAATCAGTGGACCAAATCTCTCATGTTTAGCCTGGGGGGGGGCTTATTTTCGGGGGAGGGGGGATGCCTTATATTTCACTCAGAAGGAAACCTGTAAGTAGGTCTTATTTTCGGGGGATGTCTTATTTTCGGGGAGACACGGTAGAAACATCGATGAGAGAGAAACATCTTATCAGCTGCCTCCTGCATGTCCCCTACCGGGGATGTGCCCGCAACCAGTGTACATGCCCTTGACCGGAATTGAACCCGGGACCCTTCAATCCTCAGGATGATGCTCTATCCTTTGAGCCACACGGGTTTCGGCGGATGTCTCGTTTTAAAAAGTGTTCTTCCCACACACGCACATTGGCGACATTGGCGAAAGGAAGGTTTTGCCACCTTTGTCTCCACCACCCGAAAGCAAGTCCCCGTGACCACGGCCCCTTGTTTTCTTCCAGGCTGTGCCACCCTGACAACATCCGTCATCGGTGATGCCCCTTCATAGCCAGCCCACAGCACACGGACCTGGGCTCTCAGACATGGCCTTTTCCAGGGCTCTGTGTCCATCTGTGCCCTCCCCGCCTGGTCTCTTGCTTCAATGTAACCCTTTCTCCCTGTGAGAGGCGCCCTGGGTGTGTCTGCTGCTTCCTCTTGTGCCCTTCAACACGCTGTGTTTATCGCCTGCACTTCCTGGAAGTGGGAGTTCTGTAGACAGACTGGGCCAGATTCTGGTTGAGTGTTTGGCTGGCAGAAAGCTTGGAAGGTGGTGGTTGGTGTTCCGGTGGCCGGCGCTGCCCGCTGTCCCGCCATTAGGGATGCCCAGACTGGTCTGTCGGTGGGTCCGGGGACAGCCTGATCTCTGGTTGAGTTCTTCGGGAACTTTGTGTGGGATGGTTTTCTCTGTTGTCATCGCCTGATTCCATTGTTTCCTGAGGATTATAGTTCTTTTAAAAAAATATATATTTTATTTTATTTTATTTTTTTTTTTTTTTTACAGAGAGGAAGAGAGAGGGACAGAGAGGTAGAAACATCAATCAGCTGCCTCCTGCACACCCCTCACTAGAGTTGTGCCCGCAATCAAGGTACTTGACCAGAATCGAACCTGGGACCTTTCAGTCCGTAGGCTGACACTCTAACCACTGAGCCAAACCGGTTTCGGCTATGGTTATGTTCTTTATAAACAAAATTTGTATGTTGCTTAATACAAAATCGTACTTATAGTATATATTTTTTTAAATCATAAGAAAAAAAATCTTACTATTTGCATGTAAGTTGCTTTAGTTTCATCTTTTGTGTCTTGTGTTAGGGAGGTGCGGCTCTTTCGAAGACAGACAAGATCATCTTTGGAAGTTTCTCTGCTGGAAAAATATCCTTGCTCCAAGTTTATAATTGCTGTTGGAAACAATGCAGTAGGTGAGTGGAAATGCATTCGGTAGACATTTTGTTGAAGGAATAAAAGCTCAACTTACTGTTTTGTTTTTATTAGAGAAGATTTCAAATGTTTGTTATTGTTTTAGAGAAACTCTGAATAACTTTGAATTCAAGTAAAATCTGTCATTCAGGTGGCACTGTCTTTTTGATAAGCTTAAAAAATATGACTTAAAGGAAATGTTCTTGGCTTTGGGAACTTAAAAACTCAAGGAATTGGTTCCAGTGTGTTCAGGTATTGAGGATTCCAAAAGTTCCAGGGCCTGTTTGGCCAGATGTGGAGGGGTTGAGGGGGCATGTGTATATGACCTCCTTGTAGCAGTGGTTCTTAAATGGTTTTCAATTAACTGGCTCCTTTAAGGACATAAAGAGAACTCTAGAAATAACAGTAATCACTAACATTTTGAGTACTTAAGTTCTAAGGTCTTTACATAAACGAATCCATTTGCAAAGTTAAAGTTAGAATAGTGCAGGGTTCATCTAGGACCGTGGTCGGCAAACTGCGGCTCATGAGCCACATGCGGCTCTTTGGCCCTTTGAGTGTGGCTCTTCCACAAAATACCACGGCCTGGGCGAGTCTATTTTGAAGAAGTGGCATTAGAAGAAGTTTAAGTTTAAAAAATGTGGCTCTCAAATTTCAATCGTTGTTCAGTTAATACGTGGCTCTGTTGACTAATGAGTTTGCCGACCACTGAGCTACGACAATATGCAAGGGTACGGGCAAGCCTGCATAATTTTAGGGCCTCTTTCGGCTCAAGGAGAGCATCCGGGACTCCAGTCCAGATCTTTGTCCTATAAAGTAGCCCTAGTGTTCGCAGAACAAGTACAAGGTAAATAGCTACCGACTCATTTATGTTCAAGTTCTACTGGCTAAAGCTTTCCAGCTAAGTGTTGCCTGTGAGAGATAGTAAGGTGGGTCAGTGAATCTTCTCGCTCCAGGCTCCAATATCACCCGTACTCAGGGTGTGGCCTTCTACTTCTTACGGCCTCAGTTTCCCTTTCTGCTAGATGGTAGGGTGAAGTTGATGGCCTAGAATGGCCCCTTTAGCTCTCAAATTCTAGAGTAACTTGAATGAATTTATTTTTTACTGACTAGAAAATGCAACCTACAGAGCCAAATACTAACTCCTGTGAATTGTTTTTGCAGCATTTTTGTCGTCATTTGTTATGAATTCAGGAGTCTGGGAAGAAGTCGGTTGTGCTAAACTCTGGAATGAATGGTGCAGAACAACGGACACAGTACATTTATCCCCCGCAGAGGCTTTTTGCGTGTTTTATCATCTAAAGTCAAACCCCTCGGTATGTGGGACTGACCTTATGTGTGTAAGGCGTTGTTGTATAGCCCTAGAGCATCGGACTGCGGACTGAAGGTTTCCGTTCCAGTCAAGGGCATGTACCTTGTTGCCGGGCCCGTGTGGGAGCGAGGCAACCAATCCACGTGTCTCTCTGTCTCTCTCCCTCCCTCCCACTCTCTAAAAAAAAAATCAATGGAAAAATGGACAACAACAAAAAAGTAGTAGTTGTGTAGACATAATTTCTGTAGCTGTCATTTGAATTCCGGAGTTCCTCTGTGTCTGCTTTGGGTGGAGACAGGATAGTAACCACTTCGTTGTTTATGCACCGTTGGTAAAGTTCTTAGGAAATTTTGATATGACTTTGTTAGAAACAAACCATAACATTAGGTGTTTAAGTGTTGCCCTCATTCAAATGATTACTTCACTTGGCGACTCCAGGTGTGCAAAAATGTTCATTCTGTCAAAGCCGGGAATTCTGCTTTGTAGGCCAGTATTTAGCCAGTGCCTGGTACATGCTGGAAACTCCGCTGATGTCTGCTGAGCAAATGAGTACTGTATGCATCCTAGATACAGTTCTGGTGACACCAGGCTTTCATCCTAACCTAATTTGTCCTGATTTTTAAGTCAGAAAAGACATTCTGTAGCTGATGCTGAGTGATTTCTTTGGATTGTATTTGTCCTGATTCTACTTTTGCATTCATTTAGAGAACTCAGAGTGCTGGGTAGCTTGGGGGATAAGTCAGGAAGGTGAGGTGGCCATGCAGGTGATGTCTGCCCATCTGCTTGTCTGGCAGAGTTCTGCTCCCCCCTGCTGGACACTTGATCAAAGGCGGGGGCAGGGATTCAACATTGGAAGAAGTCAGTAACTCCATAATATTATAGTATTGCTTATTTCACATGGTGAGGACCAAGTGTTAGCCCCCAAAACTATAGAATTTGGTTTTATAATACTTACAGTTTGCACTTCAAAGTTACTGAAAATTTGTAAGGATTTTTATAAAATACTTAGTGTTTATAGGAAACTAGAGGCCCAGTGCATGAATTCCTACACCTGTGGGGTCCCTTGGCCTGGCCTGCAGGGATCAGGCTGAAACACGCTCTCTGACATCCCTTGAGGGGTTCTGGGTTGCCAGAGGTGCAGGCCAGGCTGAGGGACCCCACTGGTGCATGATTGGGGCCAGGGAAGGACCCTGGGAGGGCTCCAGGGCATGTCTGGCCCATCTTTCCAAGTCCTGATCGGCAGGACCCCAGCAGCAAGCTAACCTATTAGTCAGAGCGTCTGCCTCCTGATGGTCAGTGCATGTCATGGTGAACGGTCGGACATTTAGCATATTAGGCTTTTATTATATAAGATTACTCAGGAAGCCAAGCATCAGAAAACTTTATCTGATCCTTAGTGGAAAAGTTTCACTTTAGATAGTGATGGTCAAGTAGGAGAAATTTCCGTTACTGCGTCTAGTTTTACCATTTATTGGTTAGATATCTCTTAATTATTCAGAACCTATGCGTATAGGCAACTAAATATATCTCCAGTCTTTCTGTTCTCCCCTATCCCAGGGTCCTATTCCCCTCTTGTACTTGCTTTGTGCAGTTAGCTATTTGGCAATATTTTTATTTTATTTTTATTTTAAAAAATATATTGATTTCCCACAGAGAGGAAGGGAGAGGGACAGAGAGTCAGAAACATTGATGAGAGAGAAACATCTATCAGCTGCCTCCTGCACACCCCTCATGGGGTATGTACCTGCAACCAAGGCACATGCCCCTGACCAGAATTGAACCCGGGACCCCTGAGTCTGCAGGCCGACGCTCTGTCCACGGAGCCAAACTGGTTAGGGCTGTAGGGCTGTTTGGCAATATTTTAAGAGAAAATATGGTTGACTTCTGTGGATAGTATGTTCTGTGACTTTCATAACCTGGAATCTCATCCTTCATGGCCTTGTGGAGTGGCAGGTTATCTCACCTGGAGCTTACGGTCTGCAGCTGAGATTCTGAACTAACACCTCCTCTCAGGAAGGACCGTGGAGTTGGGCTTCATGCCACCAAGTCCTGATCTGAGTCTGGCCTCCACGGGGGCCCGCACAGGGCGGGTACCACCCCGTGTTATAGGGGTGTTCTGTGATCTTCACTGGGAGCATCCTCAGTGTCTCATGTGCAGCCGTCCAGTCAGTGTGCATCTATTCTGATATTAATCACCAGTAGTAGCTTGATTCTTAAACTTAAAGCAAAATAAGCCATTAGCAAATTCAGAAAAGTGTTATCTAAGTGTTAATTACTATATTCACGATACGGATCTGGTGACAGTCTGTGGTGCATATAAAATGTATTTGACTCCAAAGCTTGGGCTTTGGTTTTTCAGGTTTTCCTTTGCCAGTGCAGTTGCTACGTCGCGGAAGATCAGCAGTACCAGTGGCTGGAAAAGGTGAGCGATGCCATTAGGTAAGGGTTTAGTACCTTAACCTACACTTAACCTACACAGCCAGATACTGAAGTGGGGAAAGTGTTTGGGTTTTTTCCTTAAATATTGTAGTAAGTTGTTAGAGAATATAAAGAATAAAAGGACTTTTTTAACAAACATAACTAGCATAGTGCTGAAAATTGTAGGTCGCAGAGCATAAAACATTAATTGAATTTTTCCCATCCACCTTTTTATTTTGTTTGAAAGAAACAAACTACACACTTGAGATAGAGTGACACCGCCCCGGTGAAAGTGTCAGTGCTGGCAGTGCTCAGGGCGGGAGGCGGGCTGGCACTCAGCTGCCACTCACTCCGGACCCCAGAATATTATACCCATTGTTCTTAGCATTATGGTGAACTGATTGAGGCAACCTTTTGTGGGAAAGTTGTGCACTTAGTACCTAATAATACAAAATTTTCAATGAAGACTTTAACTCAGCTAGGAATTTTAGAGAATAATTATAATTTGGGCAGTTACATATTATTTTTAAATGAAATCGACATATGATGTGTATCTTAGCAACAGTTCAGCTTACATCTTAGTATATTTTTGTATAGGCATTACACTTTAATTAGAAATAAATTTGATGTATTCTCATTTTAAACTAGATCGGCATACTTAGGGGCATTTATTAAAAGTTACTAAATGCAATTTAGAATGTCTGTGAACCTTTGATAATTATATACATGATTTTATACTCATGCACTTTTGTGTATTTTTTAGGGAGAGGTTTTATTAGATCTCAGAAGGGTAGAAAACTGCTGTAATAATTGGTATTTTTACTTTATATAGGATAATTATGTAAAAAATATTTTGTTTTTGTACTATGGAACTACTTTCCCAGACTTAAAAAAAAGGTAAAATTATGCATTTCCAAAACAAATTTTTTAATCAATATTTTTTCCCCTAGGGACACTCTTTGGGTCCCTTTGCTGTTTGGTTCATGTGAGCCATATCACACACAGTCTGACAGTAATCACACACAGTCTGACAGTGCCGAGTGTTGACTCATACTACAGGTGTTATAGAGAGACTGTAAATTAGCCCTGTGAGCATGTTATGTCTTAAAGGGGACATACCAGTAACAAATATATAGTGTTAACATTTTTGGTTTATTTACAAAGCTGTGTGATATAATGAAATTAATCTTGCAAATCATTGATGACATAACATAAAATCTTCACTTTTATTGTTATTACTTGACATAGCCATTTCTTCTCTTCATAAAATATTTTCAAAGTTCTGTGACCTAAAATCTTTTTCTGTAAAAAATTGCTGCTTTTCTTGTTTATATTATCATAAGTAAAAGTGAAGGAGTCTGTGGAAAACCATGAGACGCAAACTTAGAAGGACATTGAGGTTAGAGCAATTGAAACTCGCGTACAGTGTACTATAGAGTCTCCCTTATCTGCAGGGATGTTTGCAGACCCCATTGTTTGCCTGAAACTGTAGATAGTACCAAATCCTATATGCACTGTGGTTTTTCTATACATACACACCTATGATAAAGTTGATAAATTAGGCACAGTGAGAGGTTAACAACAACTAATGATAAAGCAGAGTTATTAAGACAGCAGTTGAACACACGCACAGCCATACCTCAGTAGTCGATCTGAGAACGCCATGGCTGCTACGTGACAGGGTAGTGTACACAGTGTGAGACTGGACAAGGCAGTGATTCACGCTCCAGGCTGGACGGAGTGGGATGGCATGGCAGTTCATCATGCTACTCGGAATGCACCTAATTTAAAACGTGTGAATTGTTCATTTCTGTAACTTTCCATTTAATATTTTCAGAATGTGGTTGATCACGGGTAACCAAAACCATGGAAAGCAAAATCCAAAAGCAAAACTGTGGATAAGGGGAGACTACTTAAAATTCTTTGACATTCACTTAAAAGTGATTGTTAAGAAGACTCATTTGCTGCCTTGTTGGTGGGTAGGAGCGGTAGTGAACGTGACTGTCATAGACTCCCAGTCCAGCGACTCGTTTACTGTGGACGATGTCTGGCCGTCCTTCCTGGCCGTGTTTGTTCCTGACCTCATTTCCTCCGACGGCAGCTCCTGAGGTGGCGGTGCTGTCCTGGTTCTCAGGGAGGAAATGACAGAACCAAGGCCAAATCTAGGTGAGGGGATAGGAAAGTGTGTTCTGTTTTCCCATGGACACCCTGCAAGGCCTGACATTACTGTGAGTTGTGGTAAACACCTGGGAAATGTTCTATTCTGTAATAGCGTTTTATATATATATACACACATATTAATATGAAATCAATTATGTGTTAGGTTTTTGGCTCTTGTCCAAAGAAGAATATGCAAGTAACTATTCTCACCTGTCGACATGTTACTGACTATAAGACTCCAGAATCTACCAGTAGCCTTCATCCTCCTTTCCTGAAAGCCCTAAAGACACAGAATTCCAAAGAGTCTCCATGCTGTTCCCTGCTGGAGCAGCCGAACATCGTGCACGACCTCCCTGCAGCAGGTGGTATTCAAGTTCGTAGCCTTTCCATCACCTCTTGGTATTGCTTTGTTGGTCGTTATTCTGAGTGTGAGCGATCTTTTTGAGTGGTTGGTTAATGATGATAAAAATGCATCGCTGTTTAACCTCAGGATCTGAAGTTGCCAGTCCGTTCTGTTTGGTTAGAATTGTAAAGTTTCCCACACACAGTTACATGGGAACAGCTCTGAGTTCGTAACTGTTACCCTTCAGAGCTGCTCTGTTTCTTGGCCTTTGGTAACTCATGTGAGCCATGTTAGATATAAATTGTTGGTATATGAAAAGTTGGTAAAGTATGTTTTAATTATCAAAATAGTAGTTTCAAATATTGAATCTTGATAGTTTTATTTTTATTTCTGTTACTATATTAAAAATTAGATCGTCACTTTTCAGTAGTAAATGTCACTATATACAATTAGTTGTTATCCTGTATAATAAAAGGCTAATTCGCTATGATGTGCACTGTGGCTGCCAACCGGCCTGATCTAGCCCCAGTTGGCCCCTCCCAATTTCCTGCGGCTCCTCCCCCTGGCTGTCCCTGTCCCTGATTACCACGCTGGCCTATCGCCTGTGATTCCTCTCGCTGGCCCTGGCCCCCCCCCCCCCCGACTGACAGAAGCCATTAGCTGGCCGGCCTCCCAGTAGGTCTCGATTACTGGCCAGGCCAAAGGGACACCACCTTGGTGCATGAATTTGTGCACCAGGTCTCTAGTTAATAAAAGGGTTTTTGTTCTTCCAAATGTTAAATTTATTAGAATAAATGGCTCAAAGTTTTATATATGCTTTATATATTTATTTACATTTAATTTGTTTAGGATAGTTAGTAAAATTTTAATCTTGTAGCTACTTAAAATGTGTTTTAGCAGCATGTTCAGGAAATGCAAATAAACAGTATTTGCCTGTGCTGTGCACCTGAAACTAATATAAAATACTATTGAATGTAAATTGTAATTGAAAAATTAAATGAAAAAAAATCAATATATGCAGAAGCAGGAGAATACTTAGGAAAATAATTGTCTTTGGAAAATATATCCATTATAATTAGTTCAAAATGGCAGTAAATGCTTTTCCTTTCTTGTATATTCAGTTCTGAGCTACTGTCAAGTATGGAAAATCCCTGCCATTCTGTACTTGTGTTATACTGACGTGATGAAATTAGACCTCATTACAGCTGAGGCTTTTAAGCCTGTGCTTTCTTCCAGAAGCTTGAAAGGTTTGGTTAAGGTAAGACTTTATTTAACTCCTTGACTTAATAGCTGACTTACTACCATGAACAGGCAAGCATAAATGTGTGGTGTCAACTTAAAACCTACGTAGCACTTTGAGATCCTTCTTTCTCAAAGCTTCCTAACCTGGCGGTTGGAATGTGATTGTCCCTCTCTCTTGTAACTGGAGTGTCTTGTTCGTGTGTAGCGATCAGTGCCAGGCAGTTAAGTCCCAGGTGCCGGGTAGAAAGATGGTTTTAATATTCGAGAAGTTTCTGTAACTAATTCATTTGGAAGGTTGGTAATTTTTGAGAAGGCATTTGATTACTTTAGAATGAATTTATTTGGAAGGCAGTATTTTTTAAGGAGGCATAGTATGGATTCACCTAAGTCTGTGTGGGGCTAGCTGTGGAAAGATGAGATAAGCCTGTGCCCTTTCAGTTGGTATATGTATCTGTGGGCTCCTCCCCAGAAGAATACCTATGAACGTGTACACAGGAAGTCCTGCCTGTAATTCCAGGTATTTAGGAACTTCCTCCTCTTCCTAAGAGCTTTGCTGAAAACCATGGGCTCCCAATTTGAAAACAGCTTCCTTAAAGGGATGAGGGTATAACAGCACTGTCCCACAGCCCTCTGTTGTTCAGAATGGCCATTCGTGTTAAGGCAGCTTTTCTGGTGTGTGGGTGTTAGCTCATCTCACAGGTCTCATAGGTCTCATAGTTAGTTTGTTTCCTAGTGCATCCGTCTTTTTGTGGAAACGGGCCATGCTTTTTCATTTTGGTGTTCCCAGTTTGACACAAGCTTGGCATGTAGAAGATGTCCCTCAATAACCATTTGTTGAATTAATAAGAGTAAAACTGTAGGACTCAAGTATGATTCCAGTTCTGTTAGTATTCTCTTTCCGTGGATGGCAGGGCTGACTTTTTGCATGATTCTGCTCCATTTCATGTAAGGAACTTGAGCATCGAAGAGATTAGTAGCCTGAGAGTCCTGGGACCAATCCCCTGCAGAGACCGAGGGACCGCCTGGGTCTTCCAGAACCGTTAGAGTAATGGATAATCCTTCCGACAAATTGAGCTACCTTACCCTATCTAATAAAGAGTTAGTATGCAAATAGGTCATCACTCCAACACACAAGATGGCCTCCCCCATGTGGACACAGATGGCCGGCCCAAGATGGCTGGCAGGGGAATTGTGGGCGATCAGGCCTACAGGGGAGGGCAGTTGGGGGGGATCAGGCCTGCAGGGAAGGGTAGTTGGGGGCCACCGGGCCTGCAGCGGAGGGAGTTGGGGGCCACCGGGCCTGCAGGGGAGCAGTTAGGCATCAATCAGTCTGGCAGGGAAGTGGTTAAGGGGCAATCAGGCAAGCTGGCAAGTGGTTGGGACCAGCAGTCCTGGATTGTGAGAGGATGTCTGACTGCCCGTTATTCCTCGAGGGGTTCCAGACTGTAGAGGGTGCAGGCTGGGCTGAGGGGCCGTGTATGAATTTTGTGCATGGGCCTCTAGTAACTATACAGCATCTCTTTTGAAGTCTATGCTAATAGTTTTGTGTGCTTCTTGGTTAGCTGATTGGCTCTTCCCGCTTCTGAGGGCGGGTCGCGTGGTTCTGTCCTTATTGTGGTATGGTGCTGAGAACTTCGGACTTATTCTGAGAACTGTAAATCATGTGTCATGTAGTGTTTAGTTAAACTTTTGGGTTTTAAAATATTCTTTGAAGGGAAAATTTAAATAACTTTTAAACCTTTTTATTTCTACATTAAACAAAGATTTGGGGGCGGGGAGGGTGAGTCAGGTGGCTGTTTTGAAGGGTGGTTTCTTAGTGACCACATATGTCACCCCGAATTCATAATTTCTTTGATCTAAAATTGGTATTTGGTCAACACACTGGATTCTCTTGAGTGCCTCCTGTGAGGACCCCACAGTGCTAGGTGGTCCACCCCAGGGGGTCCTTTGGTTTCTTAGGTGATTTCATGCCAGGCCAACAGTGGGCATGGTGTGCCCGGCAAGGGGAGGGGGGTCATTCAGGAGAGGCCGCACCAGGGACGTGGCACTTCAGCTGGATGTGAAAGATGGGTGAATCCTGCGCCAGGGCGGCAGTGGAAGCCCGAGTGGGCGAGTTCAGGGAGCACTGCGGAGACTGGTGTGAGCGGTTTGGGGCTGCAGAGGGAAGGCAGCTCATGGGGAGAAGTGGGCCGAGCTGGAGCTTCCTGTCCGCGTGAGGGCGTTAGACGGCCTTGGGTTCCTCCGAGTTCTGAGCGCCAGGAGGACACCCTTAGATGTTTCAAAGGAGGTGAATGGCAGCGCCCGTGCAGGGATGGGGGTTGCATGTCGCTTGTCACTGAATTCTCAGCCTCACTGTGGAACGTCTTTGTTCTCTCCTTCCAGAATATTCCCCAGAGCACAGAGATACTGAAGAAATTGGTGGCAACAAACGAGGTTCAGAGTAACATTTACACGTGATCCGGATGGTTCTGTCATCGGTCCATTCCTTGGCGGCAGCAGCAGTTTCATAGGTTCCTTTTTTCAAGAAATATTTTGAGGGTGTGAAAAACAGAATAAACTTATTTTAAATTCATTGGAGTTATAATTGTTTTTTATGGTGGTGCTGCTTTTCTTTATCCACTGGGTGGGAGTATTGTTTTATTTGTATATTTTGAGGTAATATAGTTAAATTTTTAAAAAGCTACAGGTTGTGTTAATATGGCAAAATATAATATAGTTAATTTGGTGCAGAAATTCTCTGTGATATCTGAAAGTTGATGGTCTGTTGGTGATTCCTAATATATGGAAAGTTTCTTATGAAACTTTATGAATTCTATAGGTTTTGTTGTTCTTTGGATAAAAATTGATGATAAATGGTAACAAAGTTATATATTTGCTCAAAATGAAACAAAGGAAGTTGCATTTATTTTATCACTTACTCCAGTAATACTTGACAGGCAGCCTTTTCCCCCACTTTCCCAGGGCTCTGGTGCCAGGTTAACTGTTGTTTAATCAGCATTAATGGGGTGTTCGCATTAGAACGTGACTTAGGCATGAACTCCAGGTAGCCACACTACTTCCCCAAACTCAAGTGCATTAGTGAAAATAAGTTTTAAAATGAGTTTAGAAATGTTTCTTACTTTTTTCTTTCTTTTTAGGTATTGAATCATTTATATTATATTAGAGGCCCGGTGCATGGATTTGTAATTCTTGCTAATACTAGGAAATCACTGATTTGAATGGTGGCGGTTTCTGGAGAAAAGTAATCAGAATGAACACATGTGATGACCTTCCATTCTGACATTGCTTTTTTTGTTTCGTTAATCTTTATCTGAGGATATTTTTCCATTGATTTTTTAGAGAGAGTGGAAGGGAGGGGGCAGACAGAAGCATTAATGTGTGAGAGAGACACATCGATTAGTGGCCTCCTCCATGTGCCCTGACCAGGCCTGGGGATTGAGCCTGCTCTTAACTGGACTTGAACCTGGGACCCTTCAGTCTGTAGGCCAACACTCCGCACCAAACCGGCTAGGTCTTATTCCTCTCTTTAATGCCAGTGGAGACAACCTTCTGAAGGTCTCAAGTCTTGCCATCTTAATTTGTCTGGGGTGAGGGGCAGAGGAGAGGAGGACGGTGTGCAAAAAGATGCAAAGAGAAAGAGAAGCGGTCCCTGCCTTCATGGCTGCCTGGAATTCTGTTTTTCAGGGAAATGGATTCTCCTGATCAATCTGGTTTCCAAGAACAGCTCAGCCAGACCAGGCTTGGCTGGAGTCCAGTCACAGGAGCTCACCTGCGTGCCCTGCTCCAATTCCGCATAAGGACTCAGTGGTCCTCCTTCAGCATCCGACGCTGGCTACCAGCCTGTGGCCATCCCTCACTAAGTGCGGTCCCCACCCCTGTGGCCTGTCCCTCACTAAGTGCAGTTCTCACAAATACGTTTGAGCGTAAGAAATAGCACCAGCCCCTCCGGGGACCTGTTTAAGCCCGTCTGCTGCTGCTGAATACACTCCTTTATGACCACGTTCTGTGCAAATGGCCTTGGTCTCCGCTGACACCCCAGGGAGAGCCGCCCTTCAGTCGTGCCTTCGGAAAGGAGAGGAGAGCGAAGTCATGTCACTGATTCTCGGCAACCCTGCGTCCCTGCCAGTCTCCCGGTGCCACCATCGGTTTTGCCACATCACCCATGACGGACAGTGGAAGGGGAAGGCTTTCCAAGAAGCCAGCTCAGTGTGGTTCTCGTGTGAGCGGTAACTTGAAAAGCCAGCACAAACAGTAAGAGCCCAGCCCCATCTCCCTCCTCATCCTCGTTGCCATGGTAGCTCACTCAGTCCCTTTTCACCTGAATCCATCTTGAACGCTTGTGAAATCCCCACAGTGTGCTTGACGATGCCTAGGCAGGTTCCTACTGTCATTTTTTAAATCATTTTTTAAACTAAGAAAATGGCTTGTCAGGGCCGGCTGCAGCTCAGTGATTGGGCATCAACCTATGAACCAGGAAGTCATGGTTTGATTCCTGGTCAGAGCACATGCCCGGGTTGCTGGCTCAATTCCCAGTGTAGGAGGCAGCCGATCAGTGAATGATTCTCATCATGGATGTTTCTCTCCCTCTTCGTCTCCCTCTCCTTTCCTCTCTGAAATCAATAAAAATATATATTAAAAAAACAAGAAAATAGTTTATTTTAGTTCATAGTACAGCTTTGCAGCAAATATAAACAGGCACATTTATTACATGATTTGAGGATTAGGACCCAAACCTGTAAAAATTAGTTTGGTAAACAGCAAAGTTATGCAACACACAGAAGCCAACTGTCCAACAGTTTTGCTGCTGTCATTCCTGACAGAGGCCTAGAAAGAGCCTGCTCTACCCACCACGGGACACCAAGGCCCACGGGACCGAGTAACAGGGAGGGCCCAGAAGACCGGATTCCAGGCCGAGCAGCTCTGCATCCTGGTCACAGTGCGTGGCCCCGGGGCTGACAGCAGCCTGTGGCCGGGCCACCCTGACACGGGCCAGGCTGACAGGTGGTGTCTTCAAGAGCGGCCGCGTGGCCCATCACAGGCTTCTCAGAGGCTGAGCTCCGCCCGGGCCTGGCTGTCCTGACCCCCCTCCCCTCCCTGAATCCAGTCTGCCAACCGAACACATGGGCGCAGGCGGGCAGAGCAAAGGCCGGCCTGGACTCCAGGCTGCTGGGAGGAAAAGGCGGCCATGTGGCCGGGATCTGCGGGTGCTGCGATCGGACACTGAAGTAGCAGCACTGGCCTTGGGGCTGGGCTCTGGAAGGCAAAACGGGATTTGGAACAGCTCCTCCGACCGAGCCTGGGGAGGCCTCGCCAGCAGCTGCTGTCCCAGGGCACCTCGGCCACGAGGCTGCACAGACCCTGCAGCCAACCTGGGTGCCAGGCCGGGTCTGGCTGGCTCCTGGGCTCGCCCCGTGAGAGGTGGGGTTTCTCTCTGATGCCAGGGCCTGCGCAGAGCCCCCCACACCCCTCCGGCCCCGCACAGGACGCTGGGCCGAGGCGGGGTCCGGGCCAGGCCGGGCTCCGGGCACCTCTAAGGCCTTCTCACGCTGGCCCAGCGGGGTCTCCGCGGGGTCAAGCGTGGGCCTTTGATGTTTATGGCGGAGCCACCTGCGCCTGAGCCGCCATGTGGCCGCCAGACCGCGGGGAGGCCGGCGATGACTCAGAGATTCCGGGCGGGCCCTCCGCCGGCTGCAGCGCCGGCTCCGACCACACGGCAATGACTTGGCCGCCTGCGCGCACTCTCCCTATTAAAACGTGAGATCGCTCACAGAGCCGTGTCTGTGCGCTGTAAAGCCGATATTAAACACGACCGATTCCAAAGAGCTCCAAGTGCATGCGTTTCAAAGGGACTGAGTCCTCGAAAGGCCCCGAGGGGAGGGGAGGACGCGCTGCGGGGACCGCAGGTCCGCAGAAGGGCCGGCGCCTTGGAGATGAAGTTGGTTCTGCAGAAAACGGTTAATGTTATGTGGAACCCCCAAAGCTTCTGCGTTTGGACTAATGAGCGGCCTGAGCTCTGACAGTCCTCCCGTTTCTCCCCTGAGGATCCATAGGCCGTCTGTGCGGTGCTCCTCCCTGGCTCTGGAATTCCACCTCCTTTCAGTCCGAGAGCTTCCTGAAGCCTCGATGCCATCCTGGCCCTCTGCCCTGTGCCCTCTGCCCTGAGCCCTCTGCCCTTTGCCCCCTGCCCTCTGCCCTGTGCCCTGTGCCAAGCCCTCTGCCCTCTGCCCTGAGCCCTCTGCCCTCTGCCCTGTGCCTTTTGTCCTGTGCCCTGAGCCCTGTGCCCTGTGCCCTGTGCCCTTTGTCCTGTGCCCTCTGCCCTGTGCCCTGTGCCAAGCCCTCTGCCCTCTGCCCTGTGCCCTGAGCCCTCTGACCTCTGCCCTGTGCCCTGTGCCCTGAGCCTTCTGCCCTCTGCCCTGTGCCCTGTGCCCTGAGCCCTCTGCCCTCTGGAATCATCTGCGTGATGCCCAGCTATCCAACTCCTCCTAAATGCTTGGCCTCATAGGAGAGAATTGGGTCTTGGGTAAGCAAAGGCTCATTTTATTATTATTATTGTTATTATTATTTTTAAATCCTCACCCAAGGATATTTTCCCATTGACTTGAGATTGGAAGAGAGGGAAAGACAGAGAGAAACATCAACTGATTGCCTTCTGCACAGGCCTGGGCTGGGGAGGGTCCTGCAACCCAGGCATGTGCCCTTGACTAGAATCGAACCCGGGACCGTTTGGATCCACTGAGCCAAACTGGCTCATTTTATCGCCACCTCCTTCTTTCATCGGCCCCGGGGCTCTGTTTCCCGGTCCCACTCCTCTCCCCGGGCTTCCAAGGGCACTCGCCGCGTGAGCTGGGGCTCCTTCTGCAAGTCCTGGGGTTCATCAGGTAACCCAGATCCCTGCACCCCTGCGGGCTCCCGCCTGGCCCACCTCTGATTTATCCCCACCCCGACCCCGTATCGCCCCCTTTCTTCCAAACTCAGCTCCACCCAGCTGCTCTCACCTAAAGTACGTGGAGCCGAAACCGGTTTGGCTCAGTGGATAGAGTGTCAGCCTGTGGACTGAGGGGTCCCGGGTTCGATTCTGGTCAAGGGCATGTACCCTGGATGCAGGCACATCCCCAGTAGGAGGTGTGCAGGAAGCAGCTGATCGATGTTTCTCTCTCATCAATGTTTCTGACTCTCTATCCCTCTCCCTTCCTCTCTGTAAAAAATCAATAAAATATATTTTAAAAAAATGCCACGCGCTGGTAAGAAGGGGTAGCAAAGCATTTTACACTGCTGGTGGGAGTGTAAAATGGTTGGAAAGACCGTTTTGTCAATTCTTCCGTAAAGTTAAACATAAATGTATCATAAGCATTAAACTTAGCACGTGACCCGAAACTTCACTCCCAGGGGCCTACCCAGGAGAAGTGAAAACACGTGTCCACATGGATGCTCACAGCAGCTCTGGTCCCACCAGCTCC